TTGACAAACAATGACCTTTCAGAGGTCAAATTGCTGTCAAGAATATGAATTGGCTGCTTCGCAGCAATTAGGCCTATTCTAAATACATTTACGCGTATTTTTCAACGTAAGTTAATTAAGTTCAACGTTTAATGCGTTTGTATATTTTTATGCAAATTATAATTGATTTATTTCTTCAAAGCTAAGCTCTTTATCTATTGCCTGTTGGTTTACAGTTTGTTTTATTGATTACAGTTCACCCTCTGATTCGAGACACATTTTTGTTTTACAGTCGCACAAAATTGAAGAAAAAAATCAAACCAACAGGATGGCATGCTTTAGGCTTACCATTATTTTTTCATACTTTCGCGGTGTGTTGTTTCTTTCGCAGCATGTGCTATTGCTCACAAGAAGTAAGGTCAACCTCAACTTCCGTAGGTTTTCGTCATTATAAGCTCCGCCCCTTAACAATGCTCGCGTTCCCGTGTTTTTATTAGTTGCACGTTTCACTAGAAACGCGTTCCGAATAATTTAACTTTAAAAAAAAACAACCAAAAACAGCAGAAATATTCCCTAAGTACCATAGATTACACTTAAAAGATCATTATAACAATTAAACAATTTCTATTACAAATATTAAAAATAATGAACGAGTATTCATCATCGTTATTTTAGACAAAATAAGTGTCAGCTATGGCGTATGCCGGCATTATACAAGTCGCCATTAATATGGCATAACATTTAATTAAACTAATAGTTATAAATAAATAATAATAATTTAGTATTGTTAATTTATCCTCTGATATTTTCTAAAATGGAAATAAAATATAGGCCTAACCATAGAAGAGTTAAACAAATTCCTCCATGATATAACGTCACCGCAAACAGACTTTGGATCCGGATTGGATTTCGAGTTTTCTTTTCTGGTTTGTCAATGGTTATAACAGGTCATCTCAAAACACATCAAAGAGAGACTTTCTATCTTTGACATGTTTTGAGATGAATAATTGTAAACAGAATCTAGAGTAAAATATCATAGCCTTACTGTAATTAAGCAATATCCTTGAGCGATACATAATAATATTGACTGATACTTAACATAAATAGTAGGCCTAATACTTGCAAACCACCCCCCCCCCCAAAAAAACCCCCCCAAAAAAACCACGATTTTTTTTAACAACGTATTTAAATATATTACAATAAACTATGTGGAAATTTCTTTTAAGTTCGTGCACGCCACCCGTGCTTTCAGATTGGAGTTTGTCGATGATCAATCAATGGCTATTGAAGTGAGTTTGGAAGGTTTCTCAATTGGGGATATCTGCTGCTATCGCCCTCTATGTGAATTTGCCTGATCACAGAGAGCAGAGCACAGTTTTGGTACAGTACACCCCCCAATTCAAGACACCTCTAATTCCGATACACATCTAATTCGAGACCGATCAATCGTAAACACAAAGCTAACCCTCTCAAAGTGGAGACCCAATCCCGAGACAACTCGGCTGCACAGCAAATTCAGTTCGTAAGAGCCGCTTCGCGTCGGTACGAGTTTGTCGCTTACAAAGCAAAGAAAGGCAAGAGAATCTCCTGCAGATGTTCCAAAATTGAAGTGCAGTAATAAATCGATTTTACTGAATTTGTTGCAGTGACGGCGACGGCGCTTCATACGCCAACACCGCGACAGAAGGTGCAAGTTCATGTTTTTTTTTTTTTTTTTGGCCCATTATTTAATAATAATGATATGTAGGCGCAGAGGTAACAGAGCTTTACTTTTATTTTATATTGAACGTTAAAACGAACTTAAACAAATAAAACCCTTAATAAAAAAAATAAAAAAAAATGTTGGCGTGGCGCATTTCCATTTCCGTAGTTTGGCAGGCCTATCATACAGTAGGTCCTACGTCATCGTAAATAAACTTTTATGAAGAAATGCTTGTGTCTTCATTGTGTTATTTATTCATTGTATTTAAAACCCTGTTTCTCAAAGTGTTTCATTACACACAGGGTGTATTAAGCTCCGCAGCGCTTTTTCGAGAGCGGCGCTTAGCGAAAAAATTAATAACGTTTGATTTATTCGAGCATTTACGGTACTATGAAGTAACTGCAATAACGTCCACTAGTTATAATTCAATAAGACGTACTAAAATAATGCATCGATAGGGGAATCTAGATAAGCTTACCGTGAAGCTGGTGTTAATAGGCCTACGTCATTCTATAACACCCAATGACGACAGCCTCAGTTACCTATTTAGGCCTATCTGGATTTCTGTCAATACTTGAAAATATATCACTCCTGTCAATCAGTCATGATGCTGATTGGCGTGGATAAGTGGGAGGAGTATAACCACCAAGTGTCATTCGGTGTTAGGCAGTAACCACCGCTAGTTGGCTGCACTTAGTTAAGAAAGTTTTAGTTGATCATAATTTTTTTTTGTCAACAATTTAAAATATTGAGTCGCATGTCGACGAAAGAAATCCTAGCCCTTTCATCAAATCTTAATAATCCGCTGGACTGCAGAAATAACTCAGAATATTCACGGACATGAAGATACACATTTTTTAATGTATTTAAGAACCAGTAAAATTTCACCCAGGCTCAGTGTTCTTGGCCGATTTCGGGCTCAAAAAGTTTTTATTTTGTTTATATTTTTTAATTAATTAAATGTATATATTTTAAAATAGTGTTTATAGTATGAAATTTATTTCCTCAGTCCTAACCATGATGGGGCTTACGGTACGTGTTCTGCCCTCCTTCCATTTGTGAAGTCCCTCCTAATACTTGCAAAAACCCCCCCACCCAAAAAAAAAAAAAAAAAAAAAACACGATTTTTTTAAAAAACGTATTTAAATATATTACAATAAACTATGTGGAAATTTCTTTTAAGTTCGTGCACGCCACCCGTGCTTTCAGATTGAAGTTTGTCGATGATCAATCAATGGCTAATGAAGTGAGTTTGGAAGATTTCTCAATTGGGGATATCTGCTGCTATCGCCCTCTATGTGAATTTGCCTGATCACAGAGAGCAGAGCACAGTTTTGGTACAGTACACCCCCCAATTCAAGACACCTCTAATTCCGATACACATCTAATTCGAGACCGATTAATCGTAAACACAAAGCTAACCCTCTCAAAGTGGAGACCCAACCCCGAGACAACTCGGCTGCACAGCAAATTCAGTTCGTAAGAGCCGCTTCGCGTCGGTACGAATTTGTCGCTTACAAAGCAAAGAAAGGCAAGAGAATCTCCTGCAGATGTTCCAAAATTGAAGTGTAGTAATAAATCGATTTTACTGAATTTGTTGCAGTGACGGGGACGACGCCAACACCGCGCAGAAGGTGCAAGTTCATGTTTTTTTTAAAAATTTTAGGCCCATTATTTAATAATGATATGTAGGCTCAGAGGTAACAGAGCTTTACTTTTATTTTATATTGAACGTTAAAACGAATTTAAACAAATAAAACCCTTAATAAAAAAAATATAAAAAAATGTTGGCGTGGCGCTTTTCCATTTCCATAGTTTGGCAGGCCTATCATACCGTAGGTCCTACGTCATCGTAAATAAACGTTTATGAAGAAATGCTTGTGTCTTCATTGTGTTATTTATTCATTGTATTTAAAACCCTGTTTCTCAAAGTGTTTCATTACACACAGGGTGTATTAAGCTCCGCAGCGCTTTTTCGAGAGTGGCGCTTAGCGAAAAAATTAATAACGTTTGGTTTATTCGAGCATTTACGGTACTATGAAGTAACTGCAATAACGTCCACTAGTTATAATTCAATAAGACGTAATAAAATAATGCATCGATAGGGGAATCTAGATAAGCTTACCGTGAAGCTGATGTTAATAGGCCTACGTCATTCTATAACACCCAATGACGACAGCCTCAGTTACCTATTTAGGCCTATCTGGATTTCTGTCAATACTTGAAAATATATCACTCCTGTCAATCAGTCATGATGCTGATTGGCGTGGATAAGTGGGAGGAGTATAACCACCAAGTGTCATTCGGTGTTAGGCAGTAACCACCGCTAGTTGGCTGCACTTAGTTAAGAAAGTTTTAGTTGATCATAATTTTTTTTTGTCAACAATTTAAAATATTGAGTCGCATGTCGACGAAAGAAATCCTAGCCCTTTCATCAAATCTTAATAATCCGCTGGACTGCAGAAATAACTCAGAATAGTCACGGACATGAAAATACACATTTTTAAATGTATTTAAGAACCAGTAAAATTTCACCCAGGCTCAGTGTTCTTGGCCGATTTCGGGCTCAAAAAGTTTTTATTTTGTTTATATTTTTTAATTAATTAAATGTATATATTTTAAAATAGTGTTTATAGTATGAAAATGTATTTCCTCAGTCCTAACCATGATGGGGCTTACGGTACGTGTCCTGCCCTCCTTCCATTTGTGAAGTCCCTCCTATGGTCCCCTCTAAGCCTAAAGTATTTTGAATTCCTCCACTGGCATGTTTGTATCGTTATGTAAACCATTATCATTCCTATTACTGTATATTATTTCATAATTACCATATGCATCGCTTTCATTATTTTTATTTTTATTATTTTTCAGCACCGCTAATTACTTTAGGCTTATTTATTTCATCAGTAATTTATTAATTGTTTATTTAAAAAATATTTTATTATTAATATATTTTTAATAATATATTACCATACTATTATTATTATTATTATTATTATTATTTAGAATTATTAATTTATATTATTATTTTATTAAGTATTATTAATTAATACTATTGTCAGTATTGATTATTATTAATATTATAATCATTTAATAATTATTAATATTATTATTATTTGATAATTATTAATATTACTAGATTACGTCTCAGCATGCCACGAGACTATATTAAACTTTACCAGAGAAACTGAGAAAATAGGTCCATAAACCGGTTAATGAGGCCTTTAATAACGCTGAAAGCATGTCTGAGAAGAAGTGAATATTGGTACGGGTGACTGGATCTTCACGAACTGTATTCTCTGAGGTTTAATCGGATGTTGACGAGTATCCACCGACTTCCGATTTACAGTAGGCTACTTAGCCTATTGTTGACTCGACGCTGGTTGAGTGATTGTATGGTGCTCAGATCACGTCTAAATCAGGATTACATGTTCACGCCGAAATCGCTATCATTCTATGGCAGACTGGGTCGACAACAGTTTGTTTTCTTTTCAGTTTGTTTTGCTTCTGAAACAATTTCATTTCCTTTAGCAGCAACTATTTCACCTGCCGCCACAGGGGACTTGTTCGACTTGGAATTCGATCGGCTTAATTCCGGTAGGGACCCCTGTCTCGTTTGCTTGCATTGTATGTCAGTCCAGCGAAGACAGTCGTAACGCCACGACCATTCTACAATAGCATACAGGAGGCGCACATACATAAAGGCATTACGCTATTGTCAGGCCGTGGATTTCGCACTGCCTTTGTTCTTTTTCTGTGCACGGTGACATATTCTGTTAAAATTTAGGATAATGCGATCGGCTACTTGCTGGATATGTTCACTGTCTTTCAAGGAATTTGTTTTACTAGTTATATGCGTTTTAAGCATATTACTATGTTCCCAATGTTATGCGAACAGCGAAGAAGACGAGCAATACCACGATCCATGTAAAGCAGGTAAACTAAATGGATTTATTCATATTCAATTTTATTATTGATATTTTCAAAATATTTGTCATATTATTAAATAAAAAAATGATTTATATTATTATTATTATTATTATTATTATTATTATTATTATTATTATTATTATTATTATTATTATTATTATTATTATTATTAGTACATTACGAGTTTGACCACCCAGGCCCACATCTAAAAACTAAAATGATAACCGATACAGTTTCGTTAATATTTAAAACTTTTTGTAGTCTATATATATGTATTTCACTGTTTTTAAGTACAGTAGTAGGAATATCAGCTGAGTTGACAAATTCCATGAATGGATCATACTAAATTTTAAGCGTGACTATGAAGAATATCTTATTATCATCACCATTATAATTATATGGTTTTAAATAATCAACGTTATCGTAATCATCATATTTTATTTAAATGTTAGATTTATAGAGCTTTCGGAGTTGACTATTTAATTATTATTAATTATGATTAATATTAATATGATTGTTATTATTATTATTAATAATAACATTATTATTATAACAACTATATATATATATATATATATATATATTATTATTATGATTTTGTTATTAGTGAAAGGTAACTTACACTCTTTTTCTTATTGTTTTATTATTAAAATGTACAGTATTATTCTAATATTATACTTATTATTATTATTATTATTGTACTTACTATTATTATTACTGTTATTATTAATATTATTATTATTTGATAATAATACTACATAATTTGTGTTGTATATACCACACACATAATATACAGTTTGAGTCATTATGTTCATATACATCATCGTTATATCCCACAACAGGGCTAATTAGTAATAGTATAACTCGATAAACAACGAAGTAATAGAGAGAAGATTGTAATGATGGAGTGGTTTTTTTTGTGTGCATTTTATAAGCTTTTGAATAAGTAGGCTATTCAAACTTTTAGTAGATGCGCGCGGTAAGTTTTACGCTATAGTATCTGTCACTTATCACAATGGTTATTGATTGTCAAATTATCCGTGTTACAAGTCAACACAACGCAAGACAACAGATAAATAATGTTGCCTAATCCAGGCCAATCACTTATCGCACACTTTTACTGGGCAATGTATGTCAGGCAATTTGCCAAAATATTAGATAACTGTAATATTCATTAGAGCCCATTAAATATACAGAGGCCTATATAGTAATTTTGATATGGTAATAATTGACACCCATATATATATACCTGGCCGTTTAACTAACGCTTTTTTTTTTTATAGTTTCTCAACCAAAATCCAGCCATTGTTTCCCATTATTTCGTATTTAAATCTTTTTCTGTTGTTCTGTCTTTCAATGCCATTGGCATGTTGCATGGTGGTTGTACAGTAGACGGCGAAATAGTGATAATGTTTTGTGAGGGCTTACGTTTTCCTATGCAGTTCCTTTTCTCAAATAAATCGATAAACAACACTTAAGGCCTACGGTACTCCTCACACCGTGACACGAGAGTAAACTATTCACAGGTGCATCGATATTCAATTAAGCAGAAGTTAATTTCACATCACGAACTAACACAATCAAAGTAGATTGTGTTAGTTCGTGAAATCACAGTAGCGCGTCAAAACGAGCGCGTATTGGTTGTCAAGCAATTTCGTATTCTTTACCACACAAAAAGTCCTTAACAACAACAGTGCGTATTTTGACGCGCTTTTTTGATTTCACGAACTAACACAATTGAATTTAATTGTGTTAGTTCGTGATGTGAGCGACGATATGTGGGTGAATACGCCCTAGCAGTTGATTAAGGCCGACAGCTAATAAAAAGGGAATCATCCAAAACCTATTCACACTTATTATCTTGGATTTAATTAAATGGTGTTAATATACAGTACTTTATTAACAAGGTGTTAATTTTATTGTTTAATTTGTTGTGGTATTACGAATGGTACTGCGCATGAACTCATACAGATGCTGAACAGGCGTTGATGAGTAACTTAATAGATTTAGATTAACGACTTTTGCGATGATTATTTTTGTGTTTCCATTGTTATGTTGAAAATTCCCAAGACCGGTCTTGACTTGGCAATACACCGACAGTTTCATAAGTTAAGTCAATCCCAGGTAAGTTGTGTGTGAATGACCATTGCGGGTTCCGTCCTAGTTTCTAAACTGATCCAGGCGTCTTTTAAGCTCATAAGATTTTTTTTTCATGGAGCAGGTTCGATGCGCGTTATATATTTATGGCGGATTTTTGCCTTCCATACCTGTTGGCCTACCTGGATCGCGATCCATCGATTTTGTAATGAATTATACTCAGGATCCTACGAAAGCCGATCCACAAAACTTAAAGCATCCGATGTGTTCGTGATCTGGTACGAGGTCACGGGAAGGTCTACGGCAGAAGAAACGCCATCATCCACCTGAATAATATATCCTCAAACGAAGTGGATGCTGCAAATAATAATAAAAAAAATAATCCGTGGATCTAGATAGAGAGCTCCCTTTTGACTAGCAAAAAAATATCGATCATTAATATCGTATTTATCTCTCTGGTAATAGGCCTACATGAATATGGAGCGTGTCACATTTCGTTGGAATACAAAATAATCTATACAGATAATTCTATCACGTTTTTTGCCTTGGTTCCAATGGAAATACGTTACACTTTATGCAGTTATTATTGTGTCAATCAACTTTTATCTGTACTGATATGGCAACATTAAAGATTTGTTATCATAATCAAGTAGGGGCTATAATAGTCATTGGAACTTGATGTGGTCATACTAACCCTTGCCAACCCTTGAAATATGCCTTTGGATTAAATCCACGTGTATTTTCAATAGGTTACTCTTTTTAGTGGACTGTTTGCAAAACGATCATTCCATTACCTGTTGAATATACAGTATTCTCACTGAGGATATCCTCTTACGCACCTCTGCACTTTACAACACTAAGCACAAAAACAATACAATAATATTACAGTATAAAGAAATAGGAGTTCATTTCAATATCTAAATTTAACACATTAAAAAAACATTATTATCTATGTTTCAGTTATTATGTACACATTGGATATTGTTTGTTTAATAAAAACGTATTCATAATGTAATTCTTGACTTATATTTACAATTTAACATAATGTATTTTGTCATTAAGGTGGTGGAATTCCCTCGTGGTCCAACTAGTGCTCAATAATAGGATACTAAATGAACAACTCACTCAATAATTATATAAATTTAATAAGAAGTTCTGTAAAAAAATTAATTAGAGAGGGCGCTATTTAAAGGCAACCTCGTCTATTTATCATTCGTCAGAAGTTCTAATTAAGGGGAAAGAAAACTTGCTCAGTAAGGTAAGAAAATGGTGATCGACGCTTACAAAGAGCTTATGGCCTTACTGTCCTATCTCCCAAAACTTGGATCAATGAATTCCGGCAGTAGGCCTAGGTAGGCAGTGTCGCATAGATAGCCAGGCCCCTAGGTAGGGCCTAGGCCTAGGCCTAGTTAGTAATAGATGCTATGCTTAGGCTAGGCCTAGGCTAGCCTATGGGTGGCTGGCCTACTACTAGGCCTAGGCCTACTAGGCTAGGCTAGCCTATGCCCAGGCTGCCTCTCTAGGTAGCTAGTAGGCCTAGGGCCTAGACTAGCTGCTGGGGCTTGGCTAGGCTACCTAGTTAGGCTAGCCTAGGCACTCGGGTCTTTAACCTCACTCCCTGGCGGGTGTCCTGAAAGCTCACTCAGACCTACGAAAGCTAAGACCAAAGATTACGTTACGAGATATCATCAGACCCACTCGCAATATCAGACCCCAAAAATTAAGACCCTCAACAAGTATGCCAGGATTTCTAGACAATAATAATACCTTTATTCGAAAGCTAATATCAATAATATAGAATAGAACCTCGATTTTACGTACGGTGTGGGACCGGAGGGCATACGTAAATTGGGGGATTTGTAAAATAGAGATTGGGTTAAATTTGTGGTAACCTTTGACCTAATACATACATAACGCTCAATAAACGTATGTATAAACGAATGATGTTAACTAGGCTAGACCTAGCCTCTAGGCCTACGAATAAAACTATTTGTTTAGTGTTTTTATTCATCACTTTACGATGTCATAATAAAGTATTCAAATAAAACCATATGTCTTGTGTATCTACCGTAAAGAATATGAAAATATTGTAAGATTACCTATACGACAAAGGTAAAACTTTGGAATTCCCCTTCATGCCTATTCTAAACAACAGATCTGTGGTGTTGTCTTGGCCTGTTGAGACAAACTAAAACCATGTGCACTGCACTGGGCGAGCCAACCAATTAGCGTTCGTGTACGTGAAACAGCAACCATGTGCACTGCACTGGGTGAGCCAACCAATTAGCGCTGTGTACGAAACTATGTCTACCCAGCTTTGTGTATTTTTCATGGTTTGCCACATGAAGCTAAGGAGGAAAGCAATTATTTTGAGCACATCGGTAGTTGTTCATCTCACTCAGTTCACGTGGTTTTAGATTATAACAACCCGGTATTAGACTCAATCAACGTTGCTGTTTAATGAAAATACTTGTTTATTGGACATTATAGTTTATTGTTATAGTCTTTTTACTTATGGTTGCTCTAAAAAGGGTCGTTTGTTTTGAATATTTTCTGGTTTTTTGATGACGTCATTGTCGATACGAGGCGTACGGTAAACCGAGGGTTCGTATAACTGGGGTGCGTAAAAACAAGGTTCTACTGTATAGAACAAATAAACACCAGTATGTATCATCGATACCAGCTAGGCCCCTATTTGCAATGTTTACTGGAGAAAACAATACAGTACCAGTACAAACAAACTGTTGTACGTGTACAGGCTATTTGCGAATATCTGATATATGAGAATTAATAGTTAGGTGCGAAAGTGCATTAGCGCCGGACTAGTCTAGGCCTAGCTCTATCTATGTTCTGTATGTAGGCTAGGCTTAGGCAAAAGAAGTAAAGTGAATTCTTCATTAAAATGTGAGTACAGGCCATATAAATTTCTTTCACCGAGTCCACGAAGCTATACCAACCGATGACTGTAATTCCACCACTGCAATTAAAAAAAAGATAACATAGAGGGTGCTCTATTACGTTATTTTTACATAGAGGTTGCTATATAGGCCTACACATTTTCTTATTTTTGTCTCGCACATCAGACGTGTGTTCGCGGCCAAAATTTGTCTGCCGGGCCGATTTTGGTTTTAAAATTACTTACACTGCCAATGTAATCCACGTAAGCCAAAATCGGTCCGGCATCTATTTAGTTGTTATAACATGTATTTTTTTAGCGTTGTTCATATTTGTTTTTAATCAAATGATAGACTAATCTCTTATTATAATATTTTTTCATTTGATGTGTGTGCAAATAATTGAGTACACAGCCACAGAAATTGCATGTTATTCTTGCCCAGTAATCTCTTTAGTGTAGAAAAGTGTTAAACGATTAATTCTCGCTGTCAATTCACAGTAATTTACTTGGTAAATTGGGCCAGATTTTTGTGTAGGGATGTACTGGATTGTGTTTCTGCCTGCTGGTATAAATTAGTACTTGACTCGTGCTCAAGCAAATCTTTAGTTGCCATAGAGATTTTAGGGGCACACCAACCGCTTATACGGTATTTTTTTTTACTACGGTTTTGAATGATCTGGAGCTTCAAGAAAATACTTTTTACATGGAGCTGAACGTATAGTAGAACTAGAATATAGCGCCTACGGTATGTCCCATTTGAGGAGGGTGTAGGGGTGGGGGACAAAGCTGTGTGACACAATTGACCATTAGACATTTCCTCCCCCGATACTTTTAACACCACAGTTTCCTCCCCACCATTAACCCTTGCCTAAACCACCCATGTCAGCTTCTAGCATATACAGTTACTAGTCCCTAGCAGACAATTTTAGAAGGAGCAAGGAGGTACAATTATACAAAGTTTGACAAGTTCTGGCAGAGGTCAGCAAGGTTGAAGTGGAGCATTAGTTGGTCCCCTAGCATTTACTGGGAAATCTTCAGATAAAAAAACCTTGTATTAATGGGAAAAAAAATTGCTATAATAAAATGCTCACTAATAAACATCATATAAACTAAGCATCCATTTGGAAAATAATTCTTATTTACAATTATTTTAGAAAAAATTTCAAAATGTGCTTTTTATCAGACAGTGTACAATTGACCCAATTGGCCCAAAAATTGGAGCGAAGAACCTCGCTGCAGGTTTAGTCCTATTTATATTCCAAGGATGTCTGGGCTTAAGACTGGCACATAGAGACTCTTAATGTAATAATCATTTGTTCTTTAACTTTTTCAGCAAAGAATATTATCTGCATTGTTTCATGCCTTCCACGAATTTAATGAGTAGTATGATAGCGAAATAATCTATATTAAGTAATTCTTTACAACATATGCTATTAATACTGTTAAAGAATGTAGAAGGTTGCACGTCGTGCAAGATTACCCATGTAAAATGACCAGAGAACTAAAAGCATTTTAAAGATTTTACACTAAGTAAGACTTGTTTGTATCTTCTTTCATAAACCTGCCACCCCAGGATAATAATTATTTTGAATAAAACTAACGAACAGTTAATACTTCCAGGCAAATTACATAAAAATATACCAAATACAGGCTCAAAGGGGAAGTTGCCAGGCAAATTCCCCTTCGGGCCTATTATTTTGTATATTAATATTTTAATGTAATTTGCCAGGAATTATCTATAAATTAAACATTTTAAAATTTGGACTTCTAGTTTACCAGTCACTATGAACTCCACTCCCTAAGCCCCATAAGGAGACTTTGTTTATACATTGAAATATACTGTTGCATCTCCTGTGAAAGTTTGTGATTATTTTTGCTAATAGCAATCCTTGGCCAATGTGCATAAATATTAAATCTAACATGGGTTTGAAGTTTCCCACATGAATAAAATACACAAACGGTACTGGGTAAAGACAACTTGATTTTTTTACTTCGATCAAGTTATCCATTCGTAGAAGCCTTAAGACGATATTGCCTATCCAATAGTGACATTAAAGGGTCGTGACCAGAACATACCTCTGACTTTTAAATTGATTCATCAGAGATCGAGGTGTCAAGCCAACACGTTTTGTAATTCAACATCGAATCTTGACTTAACTATTAAAATAAAATTTGAAAACAAAAATTAATGTTTTACTTTTAAATAATTTTTTTATAATGCCACTACTGCCAGTGCCTGCCATGAAATCTCCCAATTCTTATTTAATTTTTTTTCCTCACAATAAAATAAATATGTAACAATAACATTTATCATCAATTTGATTACAACTAAACTGTTTAAATCATAACATTGCTTTTTTTACAACCCCCTCGGTATAGATATCAAAAAATCAAAAATATAATTAGCATGCTCAATTAGCGGCCAGTTGATTCGCCGAACAGTTAATACGGGGAATCGTGACATATACAGCCATAATATCGGTGCTATTTCAAACGGAATGCCCGCCTATGGTGGTGGAACAAGTCTTCTCGGATATTAAGGACTCTAAACCGTAGGTGCAATGTACACAATTGGAAGAGTTGGGGGTTACCCTGGTGTACTGGTCCATTTCAGCCCCTCTGTCCGGCCACAAGGAGCATTTACGTCGCAGCTGATGTTGGGTATCCTAATTTTGAATCCTTCTACCACACCACATCAGCAAGATCATACACAATAGCTACCGTACTATACGCAGTGACTTGAGAGAAGAAGCAGCTCAATTTGTAATTAAAAAAAAAAATAGAAGAAATAATAGTGGAGATTGCTTTGGTACAACAGAGGAACAAATTTGTTATTCTTAAAAATTTTGTTTGTAAAGACCTACTGAACCTTTCATAAAACTATTAAAGTAATTGTTTTGAATAAACATTGAGTTGAAATTTTGATGTATTTCTCTTTACACAGCTGGATTTATTGGTGATATAGCACTGTCAGAAGAAGAGTATCAAGACCAGTTAAACTATTATTTAGAAGAAAAAAATTATGTAGAGGAGTTAGAGAGGATAGAAAAAGAGGAAAATGAAGCTAGAGGGAATGGCACTATATCACCAGAAACAGGTAAGATGTTGTTTATTTCATATTTTATAGAATGATATTCAAGTAATATTGAAGGTGGACATAGCCGATTTATTCATAGCTTGCTGATTAAAACTAGCAACCAATTAGAACATGGCCAAGACTCAAGCATTCTACAAACTCGCATGCTGGCCCACAAACGAACGTTTTTTGCGTATGTTTTTTCACTGTTGTTTTGTTGGACCTTTAGTATCCAAGAAGTGGGATTAGCTGTGTGCAGGTGTGTGGTTGAGGTGCAGAGGTACTGTATATCTACGGACACCGTAAGGGGGGCACCTCCCCAAAATATACTGTAGAAGTCTTCACCCCTGCTGAAAATTGGTGAGGGCAAAAAAATACCCGCCAAAAGTGAACCTCATTCCAGTAGTCCCCATCCCAAATATTCTCAATCATCCTCCGCATTTTGCTTGCACTTCTCCGTCAGTCCCAACTATACACCCAGGTATGTCACTAGGTGATTAGTATATTATCTGTTGTGGAGAGGTGCTTAATTCACAGCCACATTCGTCTATACGGCGACATGACCTGCAGTGAACAAAGACACGAGGGCAGCCCTCAAGCTGCAGCTTAAGGGGTGTTCAGTACCTCATTGTGCCCAATGTTGTCGGCCTGCATGATCCTATAAAGAGCGACAATCCGAGGCACGTGAGCCAACTCATCTTCCTGAATGTAAACCGTCCTGGGTCGCCAAGGTGGCCCTGGGGTGATATAAGCGTGATTAGGCTCTTCTTTTGTCACTCCATCTATTGCTTGACCATGGTCTGAAATTGGTCTGGATTCCACAGTTGTTTTATATCAACATCTGGGTACTCTTTAAAGTGAGTGACAGTTTACTGTTGAGTTGTCTAAATATTAGTCAACGATCTAATCAACATTCGACAAGATCAGTAGACCAGGCATCTATCATGCTCCCTATCAGTTGTGACACAGTTTATGACCTCTGTGGGGAGTCATTGGGAACATGGAAGTACTGTACAGCATCTTCCTCTATAATATGAGACACAAGCTAATGAATTATAGCGTAAAGCACAGTAAGAGTATAGCACAGTAATGCTATTAATAGCACTGAGTGTGCTGTGTGTGTTCCAGTCTAGATATGTTTCAGTCTGGATTGCACTGATTAAATATCAATAAATCTTTTTAACCCTTGATATGCCAACTAATTTGACACAAATTAGCTACAAACTAGGCTGCCACATTTATCACGCTCAGATTATGAGCTCTTTAGAAACATAAAAGTGAAAAATGAACTTTAAAATTGTGAATTTCCCATATTAATATTATTGCCCTACATTCTATAGTGAGATTGTAAAAATACTAAAATGTCAATAAAAACATTAAATTATTCTTTTGAAAGGATCAATCAAGATTAAATAATTTCTAATGAAAGAAATCAATTTTTCTTCAAATGCTTAACTATAGATTACAACAGTCGTGTCGTCACAACACCAGGTTGCGCCCTTTGTCTGCCTGAATGACTTCATGATCATAATGGTTTAGAAGGATTTGCCTTTCTGAAATAGGCATTTTAAAACCTAATAATTTGCCATTAAAATGTACTACTGTAAAAACACAAAAGCTCGCATTATATTAGTTATCGAACACACATTTAATCATCAATTAAAATTTACAAAGAAAAATTAAGATACAACATCTTAATAATTACGTTAAAAATTGGGAAAAATGAGACAATGGGTCTGGTTGAACGCATTTTCTGTCGCCGATAGCTATGGAAATGCTTAATTTTATTTTAATATAGCCACTGTTACTGTAAATGTGTTTTAGAAAACCACTATTGTAGATCTCCAGGAAGAAAATTCTTCCAACCTGGAACCTCTGATATTGTAGCACACAAATCTCCATGTTGTGAAATATTAATAAGTCTCCTTCGGATTGGAAAAGGTAACTAATATGACCTCCAACTCTCCACATGAATTTGTCAGTGTGCTTCAAAATCAGCACCTATAAAAACATTGACTATATTCATTTGTTGTCAAGTTACATTTTCACACCATGATATCTATCAGCATAGACGTTCTCTGGCTACTCGTATTCGTTTGCGTCAAGTTCCCTGGTCTTATCCATTACTTGTACAAGGGGGTCAGTCAGTTTCGTTTAATGCACAAACTTTTTGATCAGGGTTTAATATAATAATATTGCATTTTGTTTCATCGTTTGTATTCAAGAAAGTATTTTTATACCTGAAGTGAACAATAAATTTGAAAGGATTCAGGCAAGGCCTATTTTAATTTATATGAAAAACCTTATTAAGCTCAGCCCTTTCCGGAGCGCTTACACTTACGGGTAAACTCTTAAGTAGGGCACTCACTCTTCACGACGGTCATTGGCTGACGTGATTCTATAAAGAACTCAACGTGACGACTTGCGTGCGTGCAACGGGGGGGGGGGGAGCTGAGCCGTCTTCCCCCCCTCCCCCACGCACTTTTGATCAAATAACATGCTGGCTCGCACTTTGGCAATTCTCTTTGGCAGTCAACTCGCCCCTAGAAAACCCGCCCTTGGAAACTTGCCCCATAAAAAAATGTACACCATGCAGTCTTCAAAATAAAAATTGTAACCTTTGGTAATCAACTACATTTTCCACATACATAGAAATTTTTGAAACTTTATTAAAAAAAAACCTAAACCATATAAATTCACCACTATAGACACTTTTTGACAAAAATGAAAAATTACGACTTTGTTACCCAATGAGACGTGTTCTAATAATATAGTCAATGGGTTGTGTCTCATATTATTTGTTATTTTTATTATTCATTATTTTCACTTGACTCGCATAAATAATTTTGTTCGAAGAACATTTATATGCAGTTGTACTTCGCAGCACTTCACTTGCAATTTGCAATTTCTAGTAAAGTAATAGTAATTTGCCTGCCAAATAAATATGGAAAAAAAAAAATTTTTCAATTCAATCGAAAAAATTCAATTATAGTTTGGAATGTATGTGTACCTCAATTAAAGGGATCAGCTATATTAAATTCCAGACTGAAACATAATTAAGTAAGAAATATTTTCATTGATTTACAGACATTTAATCACAAAGAAAAAAAATAAAAAATAAAAATAAATTACCATCCAGTTTGTTGGATCTATGCAAAATAATACAGGTATTATTAATTGGATTTTTTTGATAGGAAATCTTTTTTTTCTTTGAAATTTTAAATTTTAAGTTAATAACTTGCTTAAGATTAAGCAATTCAGTGGAATTGAATTAAATTTTTTAGCTCATAGCAGACAGAGACACACATGTTATCTCTAAATTGATTTGACAGAAACAATTTGTCTTAGCTGCATTTAGAACCAGTTTTAGATTATTTATAGTTCAGTAGGTGTGATGCATTCTCAAAGTATGTTCTGAATCAATCACAAGATTCCAAACAACCTAATTACAATCCTTAGGACCTAGATGCTTTCTTAAAATTCATAAAAGTATGCAGATAACTACAGGTAGGCTTACAGAAAAAAAATTTGTCCTAACCACATTACTCATAGCACATACAGTGGAATTCCAATTGGAGACTGATGAAAATGTGTGTGAGAGGACTGTGTGGGGCAGTAGGACTGCCAAGAGGGGAAGCTGTAACAGGGGAAAAGGTTGGTGTTAAAGGTTAAAGGTTGTTCATTTATATTGCGCAAAATATGAGTGCGCAGATGTAACTGGAAAAAAAAAAACAAAGGCGCAAACAATTTTTCTTTGGGGCGGGCCCTGTCAATCTGGAGGGGCCCATTATTAGGGGACCCATGCCATTATTTAGGGCCCATGATATTAATTATTAATATTTATATAAAATATATTGAAAAAAAAATGTTACTTGCAATTTGTATGGGCCCCTGGTAAGCTTGGGCCCCGTGGATCTTTTCCCCTGCCCCTACCATCTCGAGGAGCGAAGGAGGATATAGGAATTGTTTTTATAAAAATAATGGGCAGATGCTCATACTGGGTATCTTGACCTAAGGGATAATATTTTGTAAATCTTAATGTAATGAATCTTTGTATTTATTTCATAACTTTATACGACCTTCTAAAACGTTATCAAAAAATTTAATTTTAGCTTAATATCGCAATTTTTTTATTTTATGATACCTCGTGGAGAACCCTCGATAGTGACTTACTCTTGGTTATTAATGTAGGGCAGTTTATATTGTATTTTTCTCCTAAAATGTTGTAATAAATAAATGAAATATCATTCATTGGTTATTCCTAAATGTTTTTTTAAATGAATGTGTGATAATTATCATGCATGAAATGCAGAATGTATGTTCCACAAAAATTGCTTTAAAATCTAAATAAATCTCATGATCTTTATTGTCTTTTTGTAGTGGTGTTATAACTTGGTTAAGTCATTTTTAAAGCCAGACACATTGCTATATTTAATTTTTAACCTTGTTACCCTTTCAGTGCTACCCCATCAATCACTAGATACTTAATTGGTGTGGTTTTTATAATGTAGTGAATTTAAAAAAAACAGTCATCCTATATTATTTCAACCATGAAACAAAGATCCGGTGTTGAGTGAAAAACATCAGGGCTTTTAGGTACCTGTCAACAAAATGTCATGAATATGTATAAACCAAGCTAGTTTCAGAACACATTTCAGATGATAAACCTAGATGGGTGATTATGTGTTTGAGGGAAGTGGTGGGGAGGGGTGAGATGGACATAGATAGGTGATGTGTGGTGGTGGGGATGACAGTGTGGCATTCTCTGGGTGCAACCAATAAAGGGCATTATCCTCCTCAAAAACTCAAAAAAATTATTTTTTCTTTGAATATCTATTACAAAATTTGTCACAATTGAGGTCATAGTACTATTAGCCTGAAACTGAGAGCAGTTTATACAGTAATTTGATTTATTTGTTTAATTTGTGATGAAGAAATATGTAAAGTATTTTTGAAATGGCCAGGTAGGTGTAACCAAGGTACTACAGACTATAAACATGCTTAATGTGGCAATTCCTGCTGGGTGCTTGCCTAGTTTCCAATGAAAGGCAATTACTGGTTTTAATATGCAAGTGGTGGGGAATGCTTGAGTGTGCAAATCCTGCTGGGTGCTCAGGTGTACATTATTTGCAAAGGAGGAGAAAATGTTATAAAGTAACAATGTAGGTTTTTATTAGGTTATCAGATGCTTACTTGATTATCTGTCATTTTGTACGTATTCAGCACGAATTGATAATCGTACAGTACACTGTCTTGTCTTGTTTCTACAACCAATATAGAATAAGTAACCCTAATATAGCGAGGGCTTAGCCAGCAAGCTTTCCGGTCGTCTTTTTTGGCCACTTTTACTTGGGACGGCTTGGCCTACCCAGCTCGGCCTAACCAAATTGGGTCTTGTCTACCCTAGCAAATACCACCCACCCACCCCCGCTCGGGGTTCGCCCCTCGGCTGTTGCTAGCGACTTGTGATCTTTCTCCATTTTGGACGGCCTATTTCTTTTTTTCTGGCTTAACCCCTGGCCTTATATATAGCTATGGCAAACAATGTAGAACTTGTATGTTCTTCACCCAGAATGAAAATACTCTCTTATGATGGCAGGGGTCCCAAGTTGGAAGAACCAATTTCTGGGAGACTTGTTTAATAACATTGGGGGCGCTATATATTCTATGAGGAAAAGTGTAGGTACTGTACCATATGAAGGGCCATGCCCACTTCAGGCCCACCATGATTGGGGTTGAGGTGATGACATTTTTTTAGAATAGGCACCTTTAAGAGCCTGGCAATGGTACTGTCAGACTGCAGACAATAATCGTCAACCAAAGTTTAGGCCTAAATAAAACAAAGAAGATTTGTTTTTAACTGAATTTGTGGGAGATTAGTGAATTTCCGGGAGATTTTTGCTTGTTTGCGGGAGTGCGGGAGACCATACCGATTTCCGGGAGACTCCCGGGAGTTCCGGGAGACTTAGGACCCCTGCCATAGCTCATTCCCATACGTTCAGTAATGAATACGGGACTCCTGTACCTTTACCTTTACTTTTACATGATAGATATATTTTTTAAAACGATATCAATGCAAAGGGTGCAAAACAAAAATGCAAAATCTTTATTAAAAGGGGTTGGCACTCTAGATCATTCCCGAATTTGATACATTATTTTGCTTGTCCCAGGCCATAGCGTATTTCATTATCAACATAAACCAGGGCCTCAATAAAGAATGCAATCCAGTTTACCTGGAAAAAGTGCGCGACTGCTGGTCAGAGGCATTGACCTTTAATCTGAGGCATTTTTGAGGGAAAAAAAAGGTTTTTTTTGCACTTTTTTGCACAATTTAATACATAAACATACGGTAATATTTTTTGCTTGCTCCAAACCACTAACTGTACTATCGTTTCGCTATAATAGTGATATGATGGCAAATTAGTTCCACTTCGTTGGTTGAAATATTAAAAATGACGTTAAGATTTCGATGGAATATGGATTTAGTTCCGCATTTTCAATTTTTCACATGGGCCCGCAGGCCATTTTGTACCCCAGCCCAAAACTAGCCTACGCCGAGGTGCGCATCAACTGGACCCTGGATCTACCACATGATTCAATGGCCAGCTTTATGGTAAGACCACTGGTAAATGCTGTCAGCCAAAGTCAGTAACCTACTACACAATGAATTAACTGCCATGAATCAGTGGCGGATCCATGAATTCTAAATAGAGGGGTCTTAGGGAGAGACTTACAGACAGAGGGCCGAGACCATCTTAGCCCCACATAGTTGTGGCCGAGGTATCAAATTCATGATTATGCCTGAAAATGGAACTCTGTTCCATTTCTCGTTGCAGAACTATATCAAAACCGTCCATTACCTTTTTACCTTGTTAACTTAATTAACTCAATCAATTTGTCTTTCTTCCCCTCCTGGGGTTTGATGCTAGCGATAAATCAGCAGTCCGGTGATTTCCAACCCCCCCCCCCCCAACTTTTTTTTTGTATTCTTCTTCCTGATGTTTTGTGTCCTGTGCTTTCTTTGTTCGTTTTCTTTTGCTTTGATTGTGTCATTTTGGATTTTCATTTTACTGCTTGTTTGCCAATTTGTGAATGCTTCTATTTTGAATGTTGCCTATTTTAACGCTTCTACTTTTTTTTCTTTCCGAATGGTTTTTGATGTTTTCTTTTTTTCTCTTTTGGTGACTTTTTGGTGGGTTTTCTTTTTTTATAATAATAATAATAATATTAAATTTTACTAGAGTAATTATTTATAATTCCTGTTTGCCTATATGTGGATGCTTGTATTTGTCAACATGTTGCCTTTTTTAACGCTAGTACTTTTTTTCTGAATGTGTTTTTTGGTGTGATTTTGTAAAACCTTTTTTCTGTAATTTTTAATGTAAATTTCCTATGTCTGATTCGTTTCATGCTTTTTGATGTTATTGATGTTAAACGTAATGCTCAGTTCTTTATTTTAATGGTTTTGATGCAATAAATTCAATTATATAATAATAATAATAATAATAATAATAATAATAATAATAATAATAATAATAATAATAATAATAATAATAGTAATAATTACATAGCAATCACTTAAAATTATATAATAATTGTAACAATAACAAATAATTGCTATAGTAATTATTTATAATTCTGTATTTTTCTCTTGTTTTTTATCAAAACAATTTTGTGTTACCGGTATGTTATATAAATTTCCTTTTTCGTTTCTTGCTTGTTCCCCCCCTCCCTTTGAATCTGCCACCATCGATGACATTTAATGTGAAGTGCTTATAGTTCTACTTTACCAATTGGCACCACCTTACAAACTGTGTATGTGGCCAGATCTTCAAATCAATTATTATTCATGAAAATCATCACTATAAAACAACTTCATGATAAAACCAGCCCCATGAACCAATTACAAAGTCCTGATCAAAGTCATTTTAGACCTATCCTCCCACTGTGCTTTAATTATTAATAATCTGATATTTGGCATCTAACCAGAAAACAAATTGGGCAGGAAAAAGAATTTTGCAGAAATTCATAGATAGTAATCTTTCAGCTTACATCAGAAATGATATAATGTTGCAACAGAAGTACTTCAAAATTTGTCACATTCATTCACTTATTTTAAATTTAGCAAAAACACAGTCATGTCCGATGATTGAACCATGATAATGTAAACTGACTAACCAAGTTTTTATTTGTAAAATTTAAATGTTATCAGATGAAAAAGACTATATATATATATTTTGAAATGAATCATGAATGAATTGGCTAGATGATAAAAGAATGCTTGCTATATTTAATATTTTATTTCTATGATGATAATAATTACTACTGTCATAATGATTATTGTTTAATTGCTTATAATATTTTGAGATACCCTCTATATAAGAAAATTTTTATTTTTGCAGTACTTAGTAGGCCGAGCCCACCGAACTCACGAAAAAGACGTGCGGTTACAGCTAGACAGGATAGGAGATGGCCCCATGCAGTTATTCCATACATGATTGATGGAAACTTTACAGGTAGGCAAGCCCTGTTTTCCTATTCCAGACGAGATATGAAAACACACAATAGAAAGTGTCATTGAATATTTTATAGAGCACAGGTGGCAAAGTTTGGCCTGAAGGCCACATGGGTCTAGGAAACAATTTTTTGTAGCCTGCGACAACCCTATGTGCAGCCCGCCTACCATCTTTGGCTAGAAAATAATCTTTTGTAAAAAAGTACTATTAAAATTGAGCATAGAGCGGTATAAAATTACTGGATAGTGCATGAAGGTTTTTCTGGAAATGACACAGTTTGGGTGCAGCTCTCTCAGTGTTAGATTAAAAGTCTTGGCCTTCTGACCTTTTTTTATGCCCAACCCTGCAAGACAGGATTACACATGATGATGGGAGTTTTGGTGGGAGTATGTGAAGAGCAAGAAAGGGAGCATTATCATGTTTCGGATCCAGGGGGCGGCACCAGTAATTCCTTGACAAGGGGGTCCACACCTTCGCTCGACCTATTGGGGAAAAAATTAAATCTGTCGGGAAATTTTGGTTATTAAAAGATAATAAAAATCTTGTGTTAATTATGGGATTCTTTATTTAAAAAGGATAATTTCGGCGCTGGAGATTTGATTTGTCCCCGACGACCTTGCTGGAAATTCCTCGACGGGGAGGGGGGTCCAAGCAGGGGTTCCAGAGGTCCTCGACGTCCCCGACGGGGTCCTTTGCCCCCTGGACCCCAGCTAGCGCCGCCCCTGTTCGTATCACACCTTGCTGTCCCAACATTTATACTTGTGTCCATTTGCCCCTTCTCATTTTTTAAAAACAAAACTTTATGTAAATGTTGCATTTAATTTATGTAAATGTTGGCACATTATGAATAATATCATAATTTTTAGGCAAGACTTTTGTATACCTTATTTTGGGAACAGAGGATGGCAGAAAAAAAATAAAAATAAAATTTTGTTTTCTTATTTAGCAGGTAGTTTCATATATAATCTAGACCATTTTTTTTGCAACGAAACACTCAAATTTAATCGGCTCATATTCACTGCATGGAAGTGACCTCCAGAAGCCTTGGTTATCATTTAGACTCGCTCATTTTATGAGGGGTAATTAATAGGCCTACCTTTGGTTTTTATGCTTTGTTTGAGTCTGTTATTATGAACAGTATCACTGTACTAGTTTAACAATTTCACAATTTAGGCTATATTTAAATAAAGCCAATGAAGTCACTAAAAAGAGGTAGAAATGCAGCCTCTAAAGGGCGAGCGGTCAGCATAGCACCAATCAAAAAGTGGAAAGTAACAGTGGCTTTTTTTAAGCAATGCAATTGAAACAAATACTAAAGCAATCAGAAAAGAATTGCCTTTCAAATACCAAAGGGAATACAAAAATTTGACAAGTATTTGCTGAGATATGACTGTGGCCAAAAACATCAAGACAGGGGAGAAAATAAAAATATTATTTTATTAGTGAATGTAAACACTGTAGAATGGGATGGTTTCAAGCTTGAAATTTATATTAGGAATAGAAATAGGCAATTCTTATTTTTGGAGATTTAAGCAGCGGTAGTCGTAATAAAAATTAAGAAAAACTTCTTTTTTTTCTGAAATTTCCATTTTTCGCTGTGGCGGGTGTGCGCTAATTAGCCAAAAATAAAATTTTATTTTTATTCGAAATCATCATTTTTGATGAGTGGGGGTTCCTTAACAAGGTATTAAAAAGTCTCTCCTTACAGCAGTGTGCATATTATGATTATGGTATGCATTGTAGACTGATATTAAAAGTGTAAATAACATTTAATCTGTTTCAAGGCTATCAATTCTTATATTTCGTTATTGTATTTCTTTATTCATTAGTCTTTTTTAAAGACATAGAAATTAATATTTGTCTAATGTTAAGAAAAAGAAAGCTGAAAGTAACAAAAAAAAAACCCCCACAAATTGATGCACTATAAAAAGCTATTTTTAAACAGCATTTCCCCGACAGGTGGTCTTTCGTGTCCTAACATAGGCGACACTGTACCAGCCTCAGCCCCACCATGTTTGGGGCTAAGGTGAACACATTTTGGGTTATGTCACTCTCAGGTCACCTGTTCCCTGGTCTAGGAAATGATTTTAATTTTTTTCCCCCCAACAGGTTTTACCATGACTCCAGACGACTATTAAAGCCAAAGTGTCCCCAACAGCTGGGCTCAAGCTATCGCCCTGTTGTTGAACTGTCAGCAATATATAAGGTCTCACTTATGGACTACTAAAGTTTATATTATTTGTTTAAATCAAGTTTGAAGTAAACTCATTCAGTAGTACGGATAAAAAGAAAAAAAAATGAATCTTGGCCAATGTGTCTAGTCTTGTTGGAGAAATGAACCAACCCATCTATCAACACAGTGTGCAGCGTTAAACAGGTAGATGCTGCATCTGCTTCCATAACAGATGTAGATTCTGGTGTGGGAGTAAACATTTAAAATTTGTCTTTTAACTTGTGAATTCTATTACACCACTCTTGGACCGATTTTTACAATGTTCTTAACTGATATAATACAGTACAAAATTCACATGTACAGTACAGTACTGTATATGGTACCATATTACAAAAAAAAACAAAAAAACATGGGGCATATGCCATCTTTACCAGATTATGAATAGTAGAAAATAAGCTAAAAAATATACTATAATTTTGTATTTTTAGTTTAGAAAAAAATATGTAAGATGAAATTATATTTTAAAAATTAACTTGTACATAATTAATTAGAAATTATTATAGGTGATGTAGAGTCAATATAAATTTCAAGGAGGGTTTTTTTTTTTATCTTGATTTATTTGTTTCTCATTGTGAAGTTTGAGTATTATTATTATGAATCAAGAATTGGTTGAACGTTGGGCTTTATAATAATGAAAATTAAAATATTGGAGCTCATGCGTGTTTGAGCCATTAAGGACTAAGACTTCACAAAGTGTACATTGTACAATCATAATGATTTTAATTTGTTTGACCTGCAGTATTCCATTTGTATAAAATAATTTATATCACTAAGCAGACATATGTGGCAAAGACAAGCCAAACCAGTCACTCGTCGCAAAAATCGATTTTGAGTTATTAATACAGTGTTAGAGTGTAAAGTAATAGCTATAAAATGGTTTAAAAAAATCATTCAAATCGGACATTTCCTTATGAAGTTACAAGCGTTTAACCACACAGCTGTTTAAAGAACAATATATGAGAAATTAACCGTCAAAGTTTATGATTTCAGGCATTTCTCACGCAGAAACTATCTTTAAATACTTAAAAAGTATTGTTTTAACATTGAACATGGGGAAAATAACAGCATAGAATGATGTGTAGATATATAAAGGGTAGTTTAGTGCAATAAAATCGATTTTTAAAAATTTGACATTCCAACATTTTTTGGCCATTTTCTCTGAAACACGATTTGCGACGAGTGACTGGTTTGGCTTGTCTTTGCCACATACAGTATGTAGACAGAATGAGTGCACTATGATATAATGTATAAAATACAGTACTGTACTATGGTACTGTAGTTCAACTTGGGTTCTCCTAGTTCAGTGCACTATGTACAGTAGCCTGTCATGATGTTGGACCTCCCAGATCTTGAAGTATTTGTTGGCTTCTTCCAATGTATGATAACAATCTCTACTTATCATTTGATAAGTGTGATAAGAAATAATGTTATAGATGCAGTGTGTGATAATATCCAGATTAATGAGATGATTAAACGAGTTATTAAAATAAATGTCTGAGCTGGTGATACAGTATATATGAAATGGGGTCTATGGGATATGCTATCATCTGCACTTCAATCTGACTGAAATTGCATGATTTAGTGCCTATTATAAAAATACTTTAGGATATGAACCCTTGTGTTTGTCCCACTTTTTGGCAACAGGTTCTACTGCTGTAGTCTCAAGATTTATTTTGCAAAAACCTGGTGGGAAGTTACTAAATCAGTGGATATAATTAAAGGTTATTCTTTGATCGAAGTGACAGTAATCTGTTGTAGTTGGATAGGATAGGATAGAATTTTAATATTCGGTGCACACAACATGCCACCAAAAGGATAGCCCACGAAAGTCTGAAGAAGACTTATTTCCAGTGGGGTCATTCTGGTGGTGATTGGGCAGTACACCGGGAGACAATCCGGTCTACTCTTTTCCGAAGTATGTGCTGCAATTTTTAACGTGCACATGGGCCATAATGCATATGGGACCAGGGGCTTAGGCCCAATAAAAAAAATTATTAGTTTATCACCCTCGCGCGCATGCCTTTTATGGTACTGAAAAAAAATAATTTGTTGAAAAAAAATTTTTTTGAAAAAAAAAAAAAAAAATTTCACATTTTTTTATTTTTATTTTATTTATTTATTTTTTTCATTTATTTTATTAAATAGTTAGTAGGTATTGTTTGCATTATCTAAATCATGTTTTACTTTGAATATCAATGCACCAGCAAACAACCCAAGGGTGATATTTGGCTTTACCAAAATAAAAAATAAAAAAAAAGCCTCCCTCCCTCATCACTTTTCCTGCCCAGATAGGGTGATAAACTAATAATATTTTTTATATGGCCTTAAATGCCTCATCCGAAAGACGGTGCGCTATCGTAACTTGCATTTCAGCCATCTAGCAGAAATACAGTACGAGGAGAGCAGTGATGGGAATTGAACAAAGGACCAAGAGATCTCCACAGTTCACGGTGTCTTCAAGAATAGGAGTTTTGGACAAAAAGGGTTGTACTTTTAGAGGGCGCTACATTACAATATTCTTTCAGCCAGTGAGATCACTGAAGCGGAACAATGTATTCTTCGCTACGCGAGTAAATTTATCAGTACAGGAATTCGTGTAGTATATCAGATATTACTAAAAATATAACTTATCTTTTATTGATTCAAATTAGTTACAAGATACCTTAATGTGTATTAAACCACAAATTTAAATCACTATGTATAAAAAAAATGTTTACTTGTATTTTTAATTGTATTTCTGAGGCCTATCATTATGGCGACGAAATCAACAAACAGCGCCACCACATAAGATCGGGTACTTAAGTAGGCAACTTTAAATCGTCTCTCAACACATGATATCCATCATTGAGGTCTAATTTTTTTGCATACTTTCTCATTAGATGTTCTTTTACTCAATTTCAAAAGGAAAAAAATTTGTAACGGTTGAATTTTGAGAAATTGCCCTTCAAATTTGGTAAATTTTCTACCTTTTTTTACACCCTACAGTAGGCCTAGCTTTAGGCCTAGGATACGGTTTTCTGTTATCCGTCCTAGGCTTAGAATGCATGAGTGCGGGTGTGTACGATAGGATTTGTGGTACTACTATGGTGGTTCATTTTCTTTCTACGTGTGGGTTCTGGTGTAATAAGGTATAATAATTTAAATTTCTTTAATTTAAAATCAGAAAAACAGTCATTGTATGCTGTGCCTCTTGGATTGCATGTTGGTTTGGGTATGTTGAGTGAATAGCGTGGTAAAAAGATCCATGTCGCATTCAACAAACGAATTTGAAAGGTCTACTAAGTGCCATCAGAACTATGCCAAATAGAATTAATCTTTATAAATCAGTATAATTCACATCTCTCAAAATACAGAGTAAGGCATTTCCACCTGCAAAGAAAAATTGTTAGTACATTTTAAATTTCATCATTTAAAAATTACTTAGCATACTATCTATGAATTAATATGAAATAACTATTTTGATATTGCCTTACAAACCTTTCCAATTTATATATACTTTAAATGAAATGCTAGAATTGAATTTAATATTTATCAGGAAATAACTGCAGAAGCAAAATACTGTGGTGGAGTATTCAACATCATTAAATAATATTGTAAATAAATAGTGTATTACATTTTAATAATAAAAAAAAAATACAACTGTATTGAAACAATACTGTAATTAAAATACAGTCTGTACTGTATGAGTCTGTCTCTTATACACATCTAGATGTGTATAAGAGACAGCTATCGCCCTGTTGTTGAACTGTCAGTAATATATAAGGTCTCACTTATGGACTACCAAAGTTTATATTATTTGTTTAAATCAAGTTTGAAGTAAACTCATTCAGTAGTACGGATAAAAAGAAAAAAAAATGAATCTTGGCCAATGTGTCTAGTCTTGTTGGAGAAATGAACCAACCCATCTATCAACACAGTGTGCAGCGTTAAACAGGTAGATGCTGCATCTGCTTCCATAACAGATGTAGATTCTGGTGTGGGAGTAAACATTTAAAATTTGTCTTTTAACTTGTGAATTCTATTACACCACTCTTGGACCGATTTTTACAATGTTCTTAACTGATATAATACAGTACAAAATTCACATGTACAGTACAGT